TAGGCTCCCTTCTGCGTCTGCAGCCCTGAGCTGCCCCGTGCTGCCCTCCTTAGAGGGCGCAGCCCCCAGGGGACCAGTGTGTCTAGGCACGTTCCTTCCTGAGACCCCTGCGGCATATGGTGAGCAGGTCCCGATGCTCCGTTCCTTCAGATCCCCATTCTCCACCGAGCCATGGCCTTGTCCAAGAAGCCGCTGTCCCTGGTCGCCAGTCCCTGGTCATCGCCAGTCTGGATGAAAACCAACGGAGAGATGAAGGGGAAGGGAAGTCTGAAGGGGAAGCCGGGGGACAAGTATCACAAGACCTGGGCCAACTACTTCATCAGGTAAAGGGCAGCCCGGGGCAGGGGCTCCCCTGGGGAGAGGAGCCGGCAGGATGGGGCGGGTCTCGGGGGGTACAGCTGGCCCTGGGGCTGGATCAGTGTTGAGGACGGGGCGTCAGAGGAGTCAAGCTCCCTGAGCTGGCAGAACGACAGACTGTGAGTGAGGTCTGTACAGTCCATGCGAGTGGGGGGCAGGGGGACTGGACTCTGCACCCCAGGAGGGGCGCTGGGGGGCGGGGATGGGGCTGCTAATGTCTCTCATCCCCGGCCCCCAGGTTCCTGGGCGAATACGCCAAGCACAACCTGACGTTCTGGGCGGTGACGGCGCAGAATGAGCCCACGGCTGGACTGATCAACAACTACCCCTTCCAGTGCCTGGGCTTCACCGCTGAGCACCAGCGGGACTTCATCGCCCAGGACCTGGGCCCGGCGCTGGCCAACAGCTCGCACAAGGGCATCCGGCTCATCATGCTGGATGACAACAGAGTGCTGCTTCCACACTGGGCCAAAGTGGTGAGTCTGCACACCGGGGCCCGCTGCTCCTTCGCCTGTTCTGCTGAGGCTGTGCACGAGCTCCGCTCTGCGGGGAGATACCGGGTGTTGGGATTGGCCTGTGGGCCGAGCATACTCAACCGGCACGTGCCTGGCGTGTGCCCTGCTGGGCAGGAGGAGTGGTTCCCGCCAGGCGGAGCAGGGCTGGGCGCTGTCAGGACGTACAGGGA